TTTCCATACACTAAATAATATATCTAGTTAGATTTGAGATTTTAACAATGCTAGTTATTAAAAATTAAATGTTGAAACTAACACTTATAATAATTAATTTATTAATTAATTACTTTTTATATTTATTACTTTTATTCTTCAATTTGAATATCATCGTTTCATTTTATAAACTAAACTTTGAAATTTAAATTGGTACTTAAAACCCTTAACTTTAAGTTAATTAATTATTCATATTATTATTATCATTATTGTTGTTCTTGTTTTGTTATTATTAATTGATTTTATTTTATTTGAATATTATCATTTTACTCTATAAACCAATTAATAAATAAAATAATCTTAAGACAATAAAAATATCAAATAACTATCCTTTTTACTATTTTTATTATTATTAATATTATTAACATTTTACTTTTTATAAAAGAAATATATATCTCATTTTCTATTAATATCCTACATAATATTATGTCATGAAATCAAGCTCCCATACCTTTGTCATAAATTATTTTCACAAAGTCATACTAGAACACCTAAAGCACTATTGATGAAAGATTAGTAAATATTTGATAGAGACATATTTACTAGCAAGAGTTGAAAAGTTGGAAGGTATGGGCAAAAGATGATAAATTATGTTATTTTAATATTTTACAACTAGTATAAATAGGGGTCTCTTCCACCCCATTTTCATTCATTCATTCACAAATCATCTTTCTTACTTCTTTACTTCTTTCCTTCTCTAATTTCTTCATATAGCAATATTAGTTTTAGTTATCGAAGTTCCCACGATATCGGTTCGTAACCTTTAGAGTATTTTGTGGTAAAAGTTCTTCTAAAGTTTCAAGGGAGTTTTATACGTCAAAGTTCTGCCCAAATCATTTTCATAAGTAATCGGTAAGCCGTTATAATGTCCATTTTATTTTAATTATATTATTTTAATTATGTTATTTATATAAAGGTTATTTTAAATTTTCTATGCAAATTCCGTTCAGACGTCGATATATTGAACTTATAAAGTCCAAAATAAATTTTACCATTTTAAGTCGTTATAATGCCCAAATTTTATTATAATTTAAATGTTATTAGAAATATACTCTTGACAATTTTCTAAAACAAACAAATTCAAAAGGAGGTATAATATAATTTATATTTGAATTTAATAATTATTTTGGAGGTTATTATGATATATTTAAATAAATAAATATTTCAAGTTATAACGGGATTATGTTCAATTAACCATAAATTATATTCTAATTATTTCATAAATTTCGTACAATCCAACGGTTATCGTAAATTAGGTTCTTGGCAAAGATCGAAGACAACACTTGTGGACTTTCAACAACACTCAACAAAAGGTGGGGGCAAGATTTCGTATACGATTGGGACGGTTAGCGTAAAATAACTTAATATATATGTGTGTAGTGGTGACCTAAGCCCTACTAGCGATAAATAATTAAGGAGAGCCTATTCTCAAATAATGATTTTCACAAATCACTAGGCGAGGTTACGCCGGCCTTAATTAATTATCATAGGAATAATCTTTGACAATTTGGTATTGTATTGTGCTTGCATTATTCGGTTAATTTTATAATTGTTTATTTTATTTATACTTGAATGATTGTGATTGATAGATTAAGGAAATAATCGGTTAATGAGAGAAAAACATTGCTAGATATTAAGTAATTGATCCCCATTAACATAAGGAAAGTTGGATACAATGAGTAGTTATATTTGGTTGGGTTCTGGCTAAGGAAAGACTTGGTCGACTATGCCGTTTACAGTCCACCTCTCTTACCTGGGAAGTTAACCATACAATTACCCATTATACAAACTGAACTTATTATGTAAGGACAAAGATCAAATATGGCAAGACATTGGATGGATTTGGTACTCAACCTAAGTATCTAGATAATAAGTATAACTTGAAAAGTTGATACGATAATTCCCCATTATTAACTTAATACTTATGGCTAAGAGTTGCCACAAGATGAGTGAGTGATCATATAGACTTGCATTAAGGAATGTGTAAGTCCACCGCCGTGCGGTATGGGACGCACGAGGTTGATCAGTCGCCTGCAATCCCGACGGGGATTATTATCTATGCATGCTAGGCAAGACAAGGTTCTTGGCCTGAATTCTCAGGGACGATCGACTTATAACACCTAGGCTCCATGTGAAGTTAGGTGGCGTAGCTCTTGGTAATTGGGAGTACGTTGGTGGCATGTGGTCTAGTGATATCTGATCTTGGTAAATGGGATAGATATCATTGACAGCGTTTAGTGGCCTGAGTCAGCATATAGTTCAGGGATGCATTAGAATAAATAAAGTATATGTAATTGTGGGTATAAGATACGCTTGTTTGTATAAATATGGTTTCCATATATATTATTATTTTACACATTCATTCCCACTTTTAAACTTGTACATGAATCTTAGCCCTGTGTCATTTTTGTTTTGCATTTTGGATTATTTTATGACGATCAGACGATGAGCTCGAATCTTGCGTACTTCCCGACAACTCAGAAGGAAAGGATATGAAGTGACGTGGAGATGTGTTACTATAACATCTAGATTGGGAGCTGTTAGTGTTTTGTCAAACGCTAATCACATCCCTACTACTACAGTCAGTATAAGTGTCAGTCTTGTTGGACTTAGGAGGTCCCTTTTGGTATGCTTTCTTTTTGGTTTCCTTTCTGTACTTTTATTTTATGTTTTATCTATGTGGCAAGGCCGCTAGTCTTAACGGTGTCAAACTCTGTAAAATATATTTGAAGCATATGTATGTGAAACAGTATGTTTTTAAATAATTAAGTATTGTCCTTTAAAAATTTCAAATTTTTCTGTATTTTTATAAGGTTTCATTAGAATTCCACTAATGGGACATAGGCTGTCTCAATCATTCATACAAGGCACCAAATATCAACAAGAGAGAATTATGGAATTCAATACACAACCTGACTGTCTTAGTTATTTTGTTAAATCTCGTATTTTGTTTTTTGCTCTGCAACTTGAACCCCCTTATTTACTGTTTTCTATACTTTGTACAAATATTATCTTGTTCAAACATAATTCATGTGGATTCGATCTTTTATTACTTTGACACTATTGGTACACTTGCCGAGAAGTCATCAACTCCTTATGATGATTTCCTCACATGCAAAGCTCAAGATACTTAATTGGGTGATGCTACTTCTTCCAACCTAAAACGCCCTTTTTCATTTCCAAAAATTGAAGCAACATTGATACTTATTACGTTGTTTTAGCCCAAATTGAATCGATTACCTAAGGATAACTTGAAACTTCTCTTGTTAGCTTTAATATTTTAGATATTCTCAGTTTTAGTCTCACCGGAAAGTCAAGACATCATCTTTATATTGTAAATGAGACACCTCTACTTCATAGGTTCCACCCTTTAAACCTGAGTAAAGACCAAGCTCTAATGTTTTTCCTAACAACCCTTTAAATTTTCAACCACCCATACTACAAAAAGTATTTTCGCCATGGTTGAAAAAAGGGTTTCACCATGTTTGCCTATGTGTGATAATGAAGGGTATGACAGAAAGTGCACTACTTTTCACCTCGAGGGTAAAGTCTGTGGTAAAAAATTGGATGACGCGCTAAATTTAACCATGGTTGGAACTTCAAACCATGGTGATATGTAACTCAACTCATTTTCCCCACTGTTAAATGTTCTTATTATGGTTAAAAGTTAGTCAAAATAACCTTTCCCCACAGTTAGAAGTTAACCATGGTGAAAAGTGAGTCAACCCAATTTTACATCTTTTTCCCATGATTTGACTGAAAAAATTAAGAAATCCCATCTCAACATAGAACATAAATATTTCTAACACAACAAAAACATCATCATCATCATCAACAACAACAACAAAATAAGAAGAACAAAAACAACAACAACAAAATAAGAACAAAAACAACAACAATAAACAACAACAACAACCATAACAATAAAACAAAATCAATAGAATCATTAAAAATTAGATTTCAACAACAACAACAACAAAAACAACAGCAACAAACAAATCAATAGAATCATTAAACGCTAAAATTTAAATCTCAACAATAACAACAACAAAACTAAATTAATAGAACCATGATTTCCTTGCCTAGTTTGAGTTGGAGAAGAGAGGTTGGAGTTTTGAGACTTGTTAATGTAAGACATGATTTTTCAAGTTTTGTATATAAAAGAAATATTATTTTTGAGTTTCGTTTAGTGGTAAAATGAATGAATGTAAAACATTATATATCTTCGAAACAAAAATACTAAGTGATTTTTCATCACAATCAGAATTTTCAACCGTGTGAAAATGTAATTTATTTTTAATTTAAATATTAAAAAAATAAGAAGGCATCACTTTTCACTAGAATTGAAACTCCAACCGTGACAAAAAAAATGATGAAAAATAAAATAAATAAACAAAAATGTTAGTACTAGGATTGAAACCCATGACCATTACAATTTTTTTTCTCAGGTTTGAATTTTGAACTATGGAAAAAGGTAGCTTAAAAAAGAAAAAATTGAAGTTAAGATTTAAAGAGTGTCTCTGAGAGATTTTTTTCCATAGTTGAAAATTTTGACAGTGAAGTAAAGTGACTTAAAATAAAAATAAAATGAATGTGTCTAATAGAATAGATTTTATCTAAATAAATTAGTTGACCGAGATAAAAATTAAAAGAGGGACTCTTTCTTAAGCCTCATTCAAATATTAGTCTTTGTGTAGATCAACCATTAAATAAAGTGACAAAATTATCGAACAACATACAACTATATATGTCTTGACTATAGTTTAAATAGAAGTTACTTAAACAAAGAAACATATTAAAGAAACTATAACAATGCAATAACTTGTATTCGATTACAAGGCTAATCTGTCTTAGTAGATATTCATGATTTTATTAAACCATTTATTTCCTTCAATTATTTCTTCGGAATTCATAGTATATTTTATGATTTTTTATTTGGTGCAACACAACATTTTACCACTTTAATACGTCCTAGTAGGTATACTTTGTTCATATCTGAAAAAATTCTCAGGATCAACCTTGGTTTTCACATTCACCAATCTTTCAAAATTTCCTTTGAAATACTTGCTTCCATAAATTCTAGCAATGTCTAATTTTGTTGTATTACTTGGATGATTGGCACCAATATCAGCATCCCTATAATTAAGAAATGCCTCCCTTGGAGAATTTGAAACATAGGGTGTCATGAATTTATAAAAGGACCTTGAAAAGTTCACATGACGTTCAATAGATTCAGGAGATCCATCAATCCAACTATTAAAATATTGAATCTTGAACAAGTTTCCAGCTCTATGAGGAAATGGAGTTTCCGACGACAATATCTCTTCCATTCTTCCACCATAAGGATTCCATTGCATAAACAAAGTCTCACCTTCAATCATTTTCTTCCACATAGATTCTAAATTTACCTTTTGAATAGGCCTCTTCACATAATCTGATTGACCTTTAAAATAACCTGCTTGGGGTTCCTCTAACAATGCTTCAAGGGGAGTACCTATTGGTTTACCATACGCAAAAAGAGTGGTATTAATCCAAGGCATTGAAAAACAATCACTTTTTTTCAAACCTAATTCAGGAAAACTTTCACTTATCAAAACTAAAAGCTTATCAGTTGTTCCAGAAAATTGACCAATGAAACTAACTTGCACTATACTTTTTGTCCCATTACCAATTTGAACAACATTAGGTTGCACTCTAATGAATAGATCTTTATGCAATTTTGGTGCAACTAGTTGCCATTTGTAAACAACATCAGTTGCACCTTCATCCACATTCCTTTTCACATTGAAAACAGTAACTTGTGAAGGTACTTGAACCAATTTGAGTTTCCATGAAAGAATAACACCAAAACTAGCTCCACCACCACCTCTTATAGCCCAAAAGAGATCTTCTCCCATTGATTTTCTATCAAAGATGTTACCATTGACATCAACTATTATTGCATCAATGATATTATCAACAGAAAGACCATATTTTCTCATCATATTTCCATACCCACCACCAGAAAAATGACCACCAGCACCTAAAGAAAAACAAACCCCAGCAGGAAAAGCAAGATAATTGCTTTTCTTTGCAATGTTATAATAAATCTTACCAACTGTTGCACCTGAATCAACCCATGCTGTTTCTTCTTGTAAATTGACATCAACTGAATTGATATTAAACAAGTCGATTATAACAAAAGGCACGTCTGATACATATGAGTAACCTTCATAGTCATGGCCTCCGCTTCGGATTCTGATTTGGATGTTGTTACTTTTGGCACATTTAATTGTTGCTTGGACATGAGATGCATCTTTTGCGGTTATAATTGCCAAAGGTTTTGGTGTGCTTGCTGTTTGAAATTTCTTGTAAATTATTTTCTTGTTGAGGATGGTTAAAAATGAGGTGTGGTTTGGTGTGTAAATTACTTTAGATGCACGAGAATTATGAGAAAAACAATTGAGAAAATTTTGAGCGGGTGACTGTGATATTGCAGATGAAATAGAGATGAGAATTGTTAAGACTGTCGAGAGAAAACATGATTTCCTCATTGTTACAATGGTATGATAAATTTTGTTTGCTGTTTTGGTGTGCCTCTCTTGGTTCATCCTTATAATCTAATTATATTGATATAGAAAAAAGGAAAAGTCTAGTCTTTTAGAGTGAATAAAAAGAAAAAGTCAATGAAAGTAATATTATCTAAAAATGGTCAAATTTACTTATTTTTAATTGTTTGTTTTAATTTTATTTATAAGAGAAATTTTTAATTTTTAAAAATTTTTGGATTTTAGTCTATAATATTATTTACAAAAATTTTAAAAAAATTCTCTTAAAAATAAAATCAAAGATAATAATATTTTTCTTCTAAATAAATAAATAAAAACTAGATAAGCATATCATGAAAATACGACTTTTCTTCAACGCGCCATGCAATATGCAGCTGAAAATAGTCCTGAAAATAATAATTTAATTGAAATATATTAACAGTGTAAAAAGATTTTACACCGTCAATCAATCATAGTTATTAGATATTTAGAAGAGTTTAACTTTTCTTTTAATCACTTATAAAATAAGACAAACGGATGATAGTAATGAATCAAAATATAAAACTTTTTACACTGAAAGTACATATTAATTAATGTTTGAAAATAAAGCCTTCATTGGAAACCTCAATAATTATTTTATAGTAACTCTTTGCCATCTTATATACGATTCATTTTAAAATATTGGATTCAAATGAGTTTTTGTTAAATAAAAGAATTACTATTAAAGAAACCAATAAAAAGAATGTCCTAATTATTTCCTTTTTCTTCTTTAAGAAAATAATAAACTTTTTATTATAAGCCATAACTTCAAGAATACAAAATCTTTTCATAATTACTAGATAAATACCTCGGATTACTTCCAAGACCGCTATATAAACAGTAAAATCTCGAGTATCTCGTTAAATTCATTTCTTAAAGAAAAGGATTAGGGCATTGGTAATATAAATTATTTTTATATTGTCAATTAATAACATTATATATATATATATATATAGTCAAATTAAATATAAATTTTTAAATTATTTATATGATATAGCAAAATTATACATTGTTATTGAATAACAGTGTATAATATAATCCTATTATTTAATATAGGATGGATTAATTAATTTAGTATATTATTTTTGTTAATAAAATTGTAAGAACAATTAATATATTAATATATATATATATATATATATATATATATATATATATATATATATATATATATATATATATATATATATATATATATATATATATATATATATATATATATATATATATATATATATATGACGTATTATATGAGAATGTCATTTTTATGTGAAATTATGAAAATGAATCTGAATCATTAAATTTTAAAATAAATGGTGGAGATTGAGATGAGATATACTCTCTATTTCTTTGTTTCTTTATTTTCTCCATTATTATAGTTTTGTGTGTAAATAACACAAATTTCTAGGACATGTAACATATAATTAATATTTAGTTGATTTTATATACATAAAAACTATAGTAATGGAGAAAATGGAGAGACAAAGAAATGGAGAGGATCTCATCTCGTGGAGATTATGTATCATTTTCTACTCTCTCCTCCATCGTTTATTTTAATCATTGAAGAGAGAGAAAAAAAATTCACACATAATCTCCACTATTTATTTTGAAATCTAATGGTTCAGATTTATTCTCATGTTTTCACATAAAAATGACACTCTTATAAATAATTTAAGTAATTTCTTAATAATAAATATTTTTATTGTGTATAATTTTATTCTACCGTAGAATTACAGTGGATAGATAATTGAGGAAAGTGAGTTTGTTAGTTGGTCTTAAGTTTCTGATGTGGTGGATAGGGTGACTGATCTGCAAGTTTAGTTGTCAAAAGTTCAAGTCAGGGTAATAGTAAAAAGTGATGTATGTCTGAAAATGAATTTGAATACTTAAGAAATTACGCGTTGTTCCTTATAAATAGGAGAAACAATTGGTAACTAAAAGCATGGATCACAGTTAGTCGTGTGATTGATCTGGACGACAAGCAAATTGTTTCCACGTGCAGAATCTCTTGCACAAAGGTAAAAAGGAGAGTAACTTGTTCTATATTTTATCTCTTACTTCGCTACTAGGTCTTTGCCTTTTGAATCTTGTGAGCGGTCTTAAACAAATTATGTAATAAATAATAATGAGGTTATAACTCTTCCCATCCTATGGGGTTATCACCCACCCTTATGAAACCCCAAAATTCCCTTCACATCCAAAGATTGAAATTCAGACACCCCTATCTAACAATAATCTGACTTCATCAAAGAGGCATCATCATTCTTTCCAAATTTATAATTTGGATATTAATCTCAAAATAAATTCAGGGTGACTTTGGATAACAAAACTTGAACCCAACCTTGATCAGTTTTTAACTCATGCAAGTGTGTTTATTTCACAGCTCAATAATAAATTCAAATTTTAAAATCCGAACTATCTCTTGTGACAATAAGTTACTTGGAAGCAATCTCTATATTTTCTTAGCCTTTATTTGTATTTTGTGTGCGTTCGGATGATAAAATGTTGGATTTTGGGCTATTATTAAATTTTAAATTTGGTGGATAAGCAAAAAATATGAAGGGATGGATCAATTCTCAGTATAATATAAGAGTTTAATAGAGATACATTGAGAGTATAAAAAAAATTGTCATCCAATTAAAATATATTAATCTATTATACCATTTAAGTAATTTAAAATTTTCAATTTAAATTAATGAAATACATAATCGTCATTGATTGATAATGTAAAATTAATTTACTTTGTCAATGCATCATATATTTTCTTAAAATATAATAATTATCTTATTGATTTAAAAATATAAATAAAATGATATTTAATTAATTAATTAATAAGAAACAATTACCCGTGTATGAATATTCCGCTCAATTTCATTTTTTATCTATAAAAGAAATACTAAATTCAAAAGGAAACTTAGACTCAAGTGTTCTTTATTTTGGTCACATCATTCTTTTAAAGATATTAAAAAACAATAATTTTAAATAATTTTGTAATGAGAATATTTATAATAAATTATAATTAATCTATTAATTATAATATATTAAAATTAAGCTTCACACTATTATGTTGACACCTCATTCTCTTACTCTAATCCATTATTAAAAATATGATGTGACATTCTTCAAAATACAACATTTCAAAACATCTATTATTTATTTAAGAAAAGAATGTAACATTTCATTTACAAATTTTATTTAATTAAAATATTTTTATTTTCATATTCCATTACCTATTCCCTTCTATTACTCTAACTAAAATTCAGGTATACTCATTGATTTATTTATTTTACTTCTCTATTTCATATATAATGCTGTATACTTTTAAAAACTGTACATCTACGATACATCGAAACACATATTATTATAAGTTACATATATGTATAAATTATATATCCATCATACATTAAAACTCTAACTATTAAAATTTTATTCTATTTTCTAGTGTGCACACTAGTTTCTTATAAAAAATTTAAATTAAGTGATTTTTAAATAATCTAATAAAAACTATAAGAATTGATTCAATTCTTACAAAAATTAAATTAATCAATTTTCAAATAAATCGATAAAAAATTATGAGAATTAATTTAATTTCTATAAAAATGAAAACAATTTTTTTGTCTCAATAATTTTTTTAACATTATCATTACTTTATTCACTCACAAAAAAGAGATAAACAATTTCGTAACAACCAATATAAAGATACAATGTATTTTGTTTTTCTTATACTAATTTTTTTTTCGTATCTATCTCTTTTGTCTCTATCAATATTTCTAAAAAAAAAATTCATTATATAATATTTTACTTCATAACAAATTATGCATAAAATAATTTTATAAAAAAAAATCATTTTACATGTATCAATTTTAAAACTAAAATAACAAAGAAAAAACCCACATTACCGTGTTTAAAATAAAGCGGTCAAACAATAATTTTAAATAGGCAAACAAATATTTCAATCTTCTTTTTAAAATATAATTCTTAATTATAAATGCAGTTATATATTATAAAGTTTAATTTTAAATATTAAATCTCATTACAATATTAAAAAAAATGATCAAACAATTCTTTCAGATTTAACTTATAATTTTTAAATAGTATTAAAAATATTTCAAATTATTGTTAATATATTATTTTAAATATTATTGCAGATACATATTATAAAATTAAACCATACTTTTTCAACTATAATTTATAATTTATTAATTAAAATTGTCCTATAATATATTGTTAAATTAGAAATAATTGAAATTGAATAGATAATTTCAATTGAATTAAATCAACTGTAAATATTATAAATTAATAATATATTAAATTTTAAATTTTATAATATTATTTAAAAATTAAAAAAAAACTCATCTAATATATTTAGAAACTCAATCTAATATATTATTATATTTTTTTTTTAGAATATAAAATTAATGAAGATAATTGTTCCATGTATCAGTTGTACACTTTAATGACATTTTTTTTAATGAATCATTTTTTGAAAAATAACTTGAAAGCATTGAATGTAAAAAATATATATAATTATCGTATTATAATTGTTGTTTTCTTTTATACAACAAACTCATGCCTACGCACGAGGTACGCTTTAGGGAAGAATACGCTTTTGGATGCACATTTCTTTTCAGACCGTAATAAAAATAGGAAGCTGAAAAAATAATAAATTTAAGAATAATAGTAAATTTAAATTGAAATAGTAATAAATATAGAATATGAAATGTAAACAACAATATTATGAATAATATGATTAAAAAATACAAACTATTGAAACTTGTATTAGATTAATCAATCGTTTTAGTTTTTTTTACAAATAAGACAATGATTTTATAAGAGAGAAAATATTTTTAAAATAAACACAATCCTGATGGTAAAATTGATAAATACAAAGCTAGACTAGTGGAAAAAGAGCTATACTCAAAGAGAAGGGATTGATTACAAAGGGGCTTTCTCACCCGTCTCTACAA